TTGTAATCTATTTAAGAAAGCAATTAGCATAGTGGGGAATGCAGCGGTGGCGCAGTGGGTAGCGCATTGTGTGTTACACTAACACACACGTGTGTGTGTGTTACACTAACACACACGTGTGTGTCTGTGTTAGTGTTACATGTGTGTGTTACACTAACACACACGTGTGTTAGTGTTACATGCGTGTGCTACACTAACACACACACGTGTGTGTGTCTGTGTGTGTGTTACACTAACACACACGTGTGTGTCTGTGTTAGTGTTACATGTGTGTCTTCTTTGGTTCTTTCGGTAAAGTCACGTAGAATGATAATAAAATAATAAATTGATAAAATAGAATAACACAATAATAAAATAATAAATATCTATATTTTATTTTATTATCATTCTACGTGACTTTACCGAAAGAACCAAAGAAGATGAATCATTGCAGTCACGAAAGCTTTAAATCGAAATTTACATGTGTGTGTTACACTAACACACGTGTGTATGTGTTCGTATTACATGTGTGTTACACTAACACACGTGTGTCTGTGTTAGTGTTACATGCGTGTGTTACACTAACACACGTGTGTGTTATTGTAACACAGGCGCGCGTGTTATGCACTCCACTCTACACCCGCATACCCAGTTAGGTTCCTGGCTACGGCCAACGTCAGTGGCTCGCGATATCTAAGCTTGTCATGGGCTTCGCCTAGGTCGACTCGGCATTAACCGAGTACCCGGTACGGCCTGGAAAAGCATCGGTGGTGGGAGAGACAACGACGACCGGGCGTGGTGCTGGCCACACCGTCCCCTCGTGTACCACCTTCATAGGTCTACTCGCTTGCAGCACTCGCCCCGATAGTCTGTAGGGGCTACACAGTGGGGGGGGGGGGTCTTTGTCGTCGTTGAGCCAGCTCATTGTTGCATTGCTCACCGGTGCAAGGCGCCCCTCCGCTCTCTCTTGGCTTCAGCGTCACACTCACGGCGAACTACTCGGTTCACTGATGAGAGGGCCCCGAGGTTTTCAGTGTTTCGCACGTCGCATAGAATAAGCGAAGACTCAACACGTTCGCTAATCCCGCTCTGACTTTAAAGATACTAATATATCTCATAGGCGACGTTTAGGGCAATTCTTTTTTTGCGTAGTAGCAGGAGCGACGATCTGGTTCAGCTCGATGCCGAGGTCTGCTGCTGCTGGCCACAACGAGAGGGCTTCAGCCGAGAGAGAGACAGAGAGAGAGTTCGTGTCGTGTCCCTCTTCCTCCTCTTCCTCCTCGTGCGTTGAAGGAGCACAGAAGACCACAGTGGGCTCACTGCGCGGTCCAGAGTTTTAGTTGAATGGCCACACTCGCACTGCTGCGACTCGTCTTTAATGTGTCTCTATGCGTCTCCATGTGTCTCTATGAATCTATACGAGTAGTTATTCATACCTATGGGTCTCCATGTATCTCAATGTGTATCTGTGAGTCTCTATGTATCTCTACGTGTCTTTATGCGTCCCCATGTATCGCTATATATTAATGGGTATCTATGTATCGCTATGGGTCACTGCGTATGGGTTATCTGTGTATCTCTCCGGGTCCATGGAATTGGGGTCCATGGCCACACTGCTCGTGGCTTGTGTCTTTCATTTCCCACTCACGATGGAGATGCGGCCTCCCGTCGGCCTGGTGTAGATGTTGCGATGCGGTTGATGGTTCTGCCACGAGTGTCTTCGAGGAAGAGCAGGAAGAGGAATGTCAAAGCTAGAAGGTGCGGTGATGTTTGGGTCTCTGATGGGGAGGTTAAAAAAAATGTCTGGACTGTTCGCACGCAGCAGCGTTCCTCTAAATCTGGGCAAGGTTCTGGTAACGGCCTTGCTGTGAAGAAGGACCATTGCCTGAAACGTCGCATAACGTATATTTTTCACTATTAAGGCCACACGCTATCAACTATGTTTTATGTTGTCAGGTAACGCACACTGAGCTATGTTAGATATTTTTCAGAAGCGACGTGGCCACACAAAATGACAGCTCAGGGAAGCGGGCTTTCATCGCGTGGAAATGTACAGCAGGGGCCGAATACTCCAGACGTGTCGTGACGTTGTTGATTCTATATTGTGGAGGGAAAAACCGGAGGACCCCGAGGAAAACCCACGCCACCACGGGGCGAGAGAGACACGCAAACTCCAAATGCACAGCAGCAGACGACAGGGACGGGATGGAACCCACGACCTCCTGTACACCAGGCGATGCAGTTAACATCTCGCCACCGTGGTTGTTATTGACGAGCGCGTTGTGTGTTGTTGTGCTTGTGCACCGCTGCCAACGCGGCAGTGAGTAATAGAAGCTAAAGTTGTAAATGGATTCATTGGGGGGTCCCCCCACACACCACCCCGTGTAGCCGCTTAACAGACTTTTGGGGCAAGTGCTGTTAGCGAGAAGCACCTACGAAGGTCGGCACGGCACACGAGTGGGTGGGTGGTCAACATCACGCCCGACCGCCTTTGTCTCCCCAGTGGCGATGTTTACACACCGCGCCAGGTACTCGTTTGAGGCCGAGTCGACCTAGGGGAGGCCCAGGACGGGTTAAGATGATCGTCACTGCAGTGTAACTCATACACACACACACAACGATTCCCCGTGTAGCCGTCATTGGTTGTTCGGGCAAGTGTTGTTGTGAGTGAGCACTTACTAAGGCTGGAACGGCGTACGACGGGATGGTGCGGCCAGTAATATCATCCTGGCCGTCTTTGTCTCCCCAGTGCTGATGTTTCCACACCGCAACTGGATACTCAGTTGGAGGCTGAGTCAACGTAGGCAAGGCACACGCAATCGGTTCGGATATCACTCGCCACTGACGTTCGCCGTGACTGGGCTGATAGCACAGTGCGCTAACCACTGCGTCACCGCTCCACCCCTTAAGATATAGCTGATAATGTATATATGCGGGTGTATTAGTCTGTAGGTATATACATATGTGTGTGGGTACATTTATTTAAGACTGTATGCATTGTGTGTCTATACCTAAAATAAGTTAAGAGTTGAATCGATCCTGGGACTCCCCTAGGTCGACTCAGCCTCAAATGAGTACCTGGTGCGGTGCGTAAACATCGCCACAAGGGAGACAAAGGCGGCCAGGCGTGGTGCTGGCCACCCACCCCCTCGTGTGCCGTACCGGTCTTCATAGGTGCTCGCTAACAGCATTTGTTCCAAAAGTCAGTTAAGGCTATACGGAGGATCTTTGTCTTTGTAAATATAAGGTGCAGTGTGCTAACCACTGCGGCAACGCTCCCCACATATTACAAAGACCTCCCAACCTCCCCTGACAGCCTTAACAGACTGTTGGGGCGAGTGCTGTTAGCAAGGAGCATTGTCGTGTTGCTAGTGATACCGCTCAACTGTGGCTGTCTCTCATATTAACTTAAAACTATTTTAACTATTTTTATTTACCAGGTAAGGGCCAATGAGCTATACAGCTCTTTTTCAGAAGCGACATGGTCATAAAAGATAGCTCAATGAAGTAGCTTATCTTGTGGAAATTGACTCTAAACACGTGATGCTGATTCTAAATATGGAGAGAAAACCCGGAGGATCCGGAGAGAGAGAGAGAGAGCGAGAGACAAATATACAGCAGCAGGCGGCATGGTCGGGATCGAACCCACGATCTCCTGTATACCAGGCGAGGAAGTTAACATCTCCTAGCCACCGTGGCTAGATACATCGTCATAATAACAGTTCATTACATCGAATAAGAGGTTATACTGCAGGAGGAATCCGATGAGCTATAAAGCTCTTTTTATAGATGTCCAGAAGGGGCGGGTAAGAACGTTACAACAACAACCAGGACAACAACACGACAGTCGTGGAAAGCACAAGAAAGGTCAACAAATCACCCAAACACAAACAAATATAACACTATACTCTTTGGTTCCTTCGGTAAAGTCACGTAGGTAGAAAATGCGAATAAAACAAACAATAATGCTTCACGACGTTTCGATCGCAACACAAAGCGGTCGTCCTCAGGCAGAAAAAAAACAATCCAGTAGTGAAACTGCTGAACCAGCGAGAGAGCTGTGACACTATAACACTAAACCATTCCCACCATCCTGCCAGGCACAGCCCACTGAGGTGTTAACTTATTTCTCAGCAGCGACCTGACCACAAATGATGGCTCAACAAAGTGGCCTTATCATTTGGACATCTATAACATCAAACTAATCTCAATCATCTCAATGCATGGAAATGGGCTTTTGTGTGTATGTGTGTGGGATACATCATGGCGAGCAGCGACGAATACCGACGGGCAGGCCTGGTGAGGGAATGACAGCTAAACGAGTGATCGATTTTGACATCGATCCATCGTAAACAAATAATGGAAAAATGACGGCCGTCTTTGTCTCCCAAGCGCTGCTGTTTACACACCGCACCATGTAATTATTTAAGGCTGAGTCGACCTAGGGGATGCCCGGGACTCGTTCTGATATCACTCGCCGCTAATGTTAGCCGCGCGCCTAGGATTCGACATTAAATCGCCTGGTTCACAGTGCAATGAGCTAACCACTACGCCACCTCTCCCCACATACAAAGACACCGGAGCCCCAACCACAAACTCCTCTCGACCCCGAGTCCCACTCAACTCCGTATTTCTCTCAACCCCGAGTTCCACTCAACTCAGTTGAGTTCCACTCAACCCAATGTCTCATTAACACGCGAATCTGGCCGCATAACCTTGACCCCGTCATCGCCTCCCCCGCTCTCCCACCCAGGTGCGCGCCACCGCCTTGAGTCTCACCTGGAGCCGTCGCGGGGTCGCGGAGCGGAGGAAGGAGCCTCTCGAGGGAGGGAGGAGGTGGGGGGTGAGAGGGAGTGGGGGAGGGAGGGATCTATGGATGGTGGGGGTGGTGGAGGGGGTAGCGAGGGGTGGGTGATGAGGGGAGGGGCTGGAGGAGGGAGCGGCGGGAGCGGGGGTGACATCACACCCCCCCCCCCTACCACTCGCGTCCTCGCTGGCCGCTCTATAAAAGCGCGGGTATCGCCACGGTCCTTCAGAAGCAGCGACTCTCCTCGACTCTCTCCGACTCCTCCACTCCTCATCGAGTCTGCAAAGTCTCCGTGTAGCTCCCCACCACCACCACCACCACCTCCACAGTGCACCGAGAACTCTCTCGCGTCTTTACCATTCTCGAGTCTCCGCGTCTCTCGAGTCTTCTCGGATCACTGAAGTTCTCCCGGCCGTGAGTCACCGACGAGTCCCGGCCATGCATCCCTCTCCTCGCCTCTCCATCGTCTGGGCCACAGCCGCCGCGGTGCTCCTCGCCGTGGTCACGCTCGGGCCGGTGGCGGCCGCACCGCCCCGGGACGCGAGACACGCGCTCCAGGTAGGCGAGAGCCACAGGTCAAGGACACGGGGGACACCGCACGTGGATGGCACTGAGTGGGGAGAGACGCCGGGGTCATGTGCGAGACACGGAACACGAGGTTTGATGGGAACAACGCGGGGCGGCTAACCGGGAGACGCCGGGAGAGAGAAACGGAGAGTTACGGGGGGACAGGGAACACGGGGGAGTAGACGTGGAGCGGCACGGGGATACGCCAGGACACGCGGCGGCACGCGGGGAGACACGGGGGACACGACACACACGGAGATGGCACACGCGGCAAAACGACGGCATGGGACACAAGAAGACGCGGGGACCCAGGAAGACACGCGAGGGCACGGGGACACGCGGAGACGCGAGGAAAAGGCCACTGCACCCGGCAATCCTCACCGCACGATCACTCTCAGGCACTGCCTCACCTGTCGGGGTGGGTCGGACCGGGGGGTAGGGCGCACACACCTGTCGGTGACCCTCCCTCCACCCCGGCACCTGCGCATCACGGGGTGGGTGGTGGTGGTTTGGGGGGAGGTGGGGGGGGGTCTAACGGCACTGAGCCACCAGTTGAGCGGCGCCTTCGCCAGGAGGGAGTCGCAGCAGTGGGAGCGAGAAGTCCGCTCCGTGGCTGTCCCGACACTCGCGCTAAACAAACCCCGACAGTCGCCCAACGCCGTTCCGAAGACCAAACCCAAACAGCAGCCATAAGAGCCGCCACTGACGCTTCCAGGACCCTAGTTCCCCCACTCGCCGTGAGAATGAAGCCAGCGCTGATGGCTGAATAGACTCTAACCATACCCTCCCCTACTCTCCTCTATCTCCACATCTCCCGCTTCCCCTTCTCCTCACCGCTACCTCTTCCTCTCCGTTCCTCCTCCATCCTTCCCTCCACATCCTCCTATTCCTCCCCTCTATCGCTACCTCCTTCTCCTCTTCCCTCCTCGTTCCCATGTCTCTCTCTCTGCCCCGCGCAGGTGCTCAGCGACATCCTGGACGGAGACTCCTCCGCGGGAGCCGAGGGAGGCGGCGGGGCCGCCGCCTCCTCCTCCTCCTCTCTCGGTGGCGATCTTGGCGACACGGACGAGGAGCTGGGCGATCTCGTGGGGGGCCTGGTCGGTGAGCTGGGGGGTATGGGGGCAGGGCTGCCCCCGCCGCGGGCGTCGCGGGACCTGGCGGGCGGGGAGCTGGAGCCCGTGTCGAGCGGCGTGTGGCTGCGCCTCTTCAACGACTTCGTGAGCAACCAGCGGCGCTTCAAGGGCCGCACGAAGAAGGGGCCCGGCAAGGGCTGCTTCGGCGGGAAGCTCGACCGCATCGGGGCCCTCAGCGGCCTCGGCTGCTAGAGCCGCGACTCCAACCACCCCCCTCGCCCAACCTCCGCCAACTCGCCCGACGGTGAGCTGAGAGCGGTGATGGGGGGCGCGCCGGAGAAGGAAGGGGTAGGACGGGGCACTGGGGTATGGGGGGGGGTGAGAGGGGCGATGGGAAGGATGGGGCCGTGAGGTGGACAGTGATCAGAAAAGCCGTTGTCTTTGATGTGTCGGCGTGTGTGCTGAATAAGGGTGTGTGTATATGTATGTGTATATACAGTATATGTATTTGGGGAGCGGTGGCGCAGTGGTTAGCGCGATGACCCGAGGAACCCACAGACTTCAATTCGAGTCCTGCTCACAGCCAATATTAGTGACACATATTTGAAGCGTTCCTGGGCCTCCCATGGGTCGACTGAGAGGGTTGACGGTTCTGATTCTGAACGAGTACCTGGTGCGGTGTGTTAACATCAGCATTGGGGCGATAAATGCGGCTGGGCCTGGTGCTGACCACCTACCCCCTCGAATGCAGTGCCGTACTTAATAGGTGCTCGCGAGCAGCACTTGCCCCACCATGCCCTGTCGGCTACACGGGCGATATGTGTTTCTATATTGTGGGAATCATCGGCCGCCGTGGTTTGCGCAATGCCCTACGAACCCAAGTTCAATTCCCGACCACGGCTAACGTCAGTGGCGAGTTATATTTGAACCGGCGCTGAGCCTCCCTCTGGTCGACTCAGCCTTAAATGAGCGCCTCGTGCGGTCTGTAAACAACAGCGCTGGGAAGACAAAGGCGTCCGAGCGCAGTACTGGTAACACCATCCTTCATGCGCTATTCCGGCCTTCATAGGTGCTCGTTAACAGCACTTGCCCCAACAGTCTTCGCGTGTATATGGGGATCTTTGTAGATTGTATATACTGCCTATGTACACTATGTACGCTGATGTGTAGGTGTACACTTATGTAATCGTCTTTGTGTGTATATACAACGTGTGTATTGTGTACGTAAGCACCTGTGTGAGTGTATTGCACCTGTGTGGTGTATATATGTGGATGTACGCATAGGTGATGATATCTGAGCCGATTCCAGCCTTCTCCTAGGCCGGCTCAGCCTTAAATGAGTACCTGGTGCCGTGTGTAAATATTTGGAGACAAAGGCGGCCGGGCATGGTGTTGGTTATACCACGCCCCTCGTGCGCCGTGCCCGACCTCAGCAGGTGTTCGCTAGCGGCACTTGCCCCAACAGTCTGTTTATTAATATGGGGCATCTTTGTTTGTGTTGTTATACTCCGTGACCTGACCTTGACCTGACCTTGACCTCACCGCCTCTTCCTCACCTCCCAGGTTCACGGCTCGGACCGCAACTCGAGTCACATGACCAAGCCGCCTCCCGCAACACCGCGACACCTGGCCCCGCCCCCCTCGCTCATCTAGCCCCGCCCCCTCTCACACCTGCCCCCTTCCCTGACGCCTAGCCTCGCCCCGTCATACCCGACCCCGCACCCTCTCACATCTGGCCCCGCCCCCTCTCACACCTGGTCCAGCAACCCTCGCTCACCTGGCCCCGCCCCCTCCGACACACCAGGCCCCGCCCCCTCACACACCTGGCCCCGCCCCCTCTCGCACCTGGTCCAGCAACCCTCGCTCACCTGGCCCCGCCCCCTTGCTCACCTGGCCCCGCCCCCTCGCGTTTACATGCGTCGCCCGGCGTGTACAGTGCCCAGATGTATTTATTTGCTGTATTTATATTTGGTTGTTGAGTTGTTTCTCCTGCGCCCCGTGTCGAGTCTTATTTATATGATTGTGTATATAGACGCCCCCGTGCAGTAGGCAACCCTAACGCACCGCTACGCTGTGTTCCGTAGGCCGTATCTTAAATAAACTCTCCTGTACTGCTGCTGATGCTCATGAGTGAGACTCGGTCTGTTCGATGATTGCACACGTGCATACAACAACAACAACCGCCATTCGCCGCTAAGTGGCGGTGACGTCACCACGACGCTTTTGCCAGGCCATGTGCATCTTGAGCCCACGTGAAGTGTCGAACGCCCGCTGGCAGGAGGTCACGGGGCAGACCCAAGTGCCACGGGTCGACTGACTAAGATGACTGAGATGACTGGCTGATGCACCACCTGTGCCCCCTACTGTGCCAACCTGCTGTGCTTTAGCCACCCGGCGCGTCGCTCGTTGCTGTGAGCGTCGCTCCTCCGCCCTCCGTTGTTGTTGGAGGGCGACTGCCTCCAACTGCCCAGTAGCGTCCTTCACGAGCCTCCTCCACAGAGGCCGATCTTGACACCGCTGGTACCAGTCATCGGCAAGTTCACTCAGCTCCACGTCCTCCTGTACCACATCACTCCATCTCTTCTCTAGCCCGTGCTGCGCCCGTTTAGCCCCCTCGATCCGGGAAACAAAAGCTGTTTAGGCATGCGGTTGCTGGGCATGCGGGCTATATGACCCAGCCAACGCAGCCTTACCTGCCGGAGGAGCTCACCGATGGGACCTTGTCCAGATCTTTCAAGGATTTTTGAGCTCACACAATCCAGCCTGGTTAAACCCAGGATGGATCGTAGGCAGGCTAGCTTAAATGTTTCTAACCGGCGAAGATGTTCCATTAGGGGGGGTGCACGTTTCGCAAGCGTAGAGAAGGGAGGGAATGACCGTGGCCGAGAAGACCTGAAGCTTAGTGCGGAGCGACAGACCAGGTAGCTTCCACACAGCGTTACGCAACCGATGAAAAGATATTGCCGCTCGACTGATTCGGAGTGAGACCTCTGCTGTTAAACTGGAGCCGGTCATAAGCACATTGCCCAGGTATGGGAAACTCTCCACTATCTCCACAACTGCCCCATCACCGATTGGGAGTTGTGGGGGTGGAGTGTCCGATGGTACAAAATACCCAGGCAGGTGCTGAGTTTTGGTGGGGCTGATGGTAAGGCCCCATCTCTTAGTGGCACGCTCCAGTCTCAGCTGCAGCGTCTTCAACTCCTTCTCTGAATGAGCAGCTATTACCAAATCATCGGCATATGTAACGTGGTTGAGCAATAGGGAGCCATCCCTTGACCGCACCCGGGCGTCGATCAGCCTCCCATCATATCTGTACCAAATGGAGATTCCTCCGGTACAGCTATTGAAGGCTTCACGAACTACGTGGTCAAAAATAGATGTTAAATAATGTGGGAGCCAGATAACATCCCTGTTGCACCCCAAGTTGTACAGGGAATGGCTCCAACTCCCGGCCACGTAGTTTTACCCGGGCCCGCTCACCATCATGAAAGTCCTTAATGATCGTGAGCAGAGGGTCAGGGACTCCAAAATCACGAAGAACAACCCAGAGCCCAGGCCTACTGATGCTATCATAGACCTTGACCAGGTCAATAAAGCAGAGATGTAGGTCTTGTTGGAATTCCCTACACCTCTGCAGTAGCAGACGGACATAAAATATGGCATCTGTTCAGGACCGCCCTTTCCTGAAACCGCATTGGGTCTCCGCAAGCCTCTGCTCAGCGTGCCTGGCAAGGCGATGTTGGATAATCCTTTCCAGGACCTTTCCCGGCACACTGAGGAGTGAGATGCCCCTTTAGTTGTTACAGTCTGTGCGGTCTCCCTTCTTAAAGAGGGAGACCACCAGGGCATCCTTCCAATCCTGTGGAACCCGTCCAGTGGTCCAGGCCGTTGTTATGATGTCATATAGGGCAGTCTGTGCACAAACGCCACCCTCCCTCAGCATTTCGCTTGGGAGATCATCTCTGCCCGGTGCCTTTCCTGGTCTCAGACTCCGGATCGCCTTCAGTACCTCCTCAACAGATGGCACCTCAGCCAGCCACTCACAGGGGGTGACTTCTTCCAATATTTGAGGCACCGCAGCCTCAGCAGGGTCATCCCCACTTTGTGCCACGATGTTTTCCTGGCTGAGGGATTTCCCCTTCCCCAAGACCTCACAGAAATGCTCAGCAAATCTGCAAACCTGTTCCTGGGGGTCAGAGATTGGATCACCGTTTTTCCCCGAATGATGGTAATAGGTGTGGTGTTGCAGGTTACTTTTTTGATGGAGTTAAATAGAGAATTGTGATCGCGGACCACTGAGGCAGACTCCATCTCCTCAGCAACCCGCGACCACCACCCATCCTTGCAGCGCCTCACGGCTCTCCGAACCTCCGAGCGAAGGCTGCGGTAAGCCTCCTCATTCTCTGACGTGGGATTCTGTAGCCGATGACAGTGGGCCTGTCGCTTTTTCTCAACTATCCTGAACACCTCTTCTGTCAGCCAGGGTCTCTGGGGAGGTCTGGACCGCGTACCCAAAGCAGCCATTGCAGCTGCATGAGTCACAGTCCTAAACCTCGCCCATTTACCCTCGACATCAGGAGGAGTGGGGGACGATGCCAACCCCAGCCGCAAGCGATGATGAATTTCTCGCTTGCAACTTTCATCAGCCAACTGAGACCAGGCCACTTTAGGTTGGAATGGGGTCCTGGGTGTCCACCCACCACCGGAGTGGAAGAATAGCAGGCGCATCTTACAGATGACTAGTCGATGGTCAGAGGGCAGATCAGCTCCACGGTAGGTCCTGGTGTCAAGGGACATGGGCTCGCATCCGCTGGTCCGTCACTATGTAGTCCAGTAGATGTTCTTGCTTGGACCCGGCATGCATCCATGATGTGGTGTGGATGCTCCGATTCCGGAACAGCGTGTTGGTAATTACAAGCCCATGGGCTGCACAAAATCTAGCAGCCTCCTACCGTTGTTATTGAGCTGATCTGGCCCATGCCCTCCAATCACTCCAGACCAGGTGCCAGCATCATGACCAACTCGGGCATTAAAGTCAGCCAACAAGATGACTCGATCCCGAGGGGCCACTTTAGCCAGCACCTGTGACAGGAGGTCATAGAAGGCATCTGACTCATCGGCTTTTCCTGGATCCCTCTACGGATGTTCGTCTTCGGTGGGGGCATAAGTAACCACGACCACCACTCCTCGCCTCCGATTGATAGGAAGGCGAGCCCAAAGTAGTCTGGGGCTTACAGATTCCCACACCTCACGGCCACGCTCCCACGCCCCCTTCACTCTTTTGTTCAAAAGAAGAGCCACACCCTGTTGTTTGGCAGTCTGCTGCCCCGAGTAGAGGACTGTCCACCCCTTATGGTGGCAGGAGCCAGAACCGGTCCACTTGACCTCCTGAATGCCACAGAGAACCAGGTGGTACCGGTCCAGCTCCCGACAGAGGAATGGCAGCCTCTCCTACGCAGTGACCGTTCGAACATTCCACGTGGCCACACGAAGTAGCTTTTCGTTGTTTCTGGAGGAGCCCCGAGGGTAGAGATTCAATCTCCTGACTTCGCCATAGACGCCTGTTCCCCCGAGGCCTCCGGCACAAGCTTATTAGTTATATATTTAATTCGTGGTTTCGTGGTAATTTATTGAAGGTGGAGGGGTTACCAGCCCTTCGCACCCGTCCAGAGCCCCCGTTTAGCCACTGTGGTGGTCACAGACGCCATGTGGGGAGAGGCCAATCAGAATTGGCCGTCCCCCCACAGCACTCGTCCACGACAAAGTTGCCCGTCCGGCACCGCGAGGAGGTAGGGGGTTGTTTTGCCGGACACGTTTTGCCAGACGTGACGTGCATACACAACATCAACAACCGCCATTCGCCACAAAGTGGCGATGACGCCACCACGACACTTGTACCAGGCTATGTGCACGTTGAGGCCACGTGAAGTGTCGAACGCCCGCTGGCAGGAGGTCACGGGGCAGACCCAGGTGCCACGGGTCGACTGGCTGAGATGACTGAGATGAGTGGCTGATGCACCACCTGTGCTCCCTACTGTGCCAACTTGCTGTGCTTTAGCCACCCAGCGCTTCGCTCGTTGTTGTGAGCGTCGCTCCTCCACCCTCCGTTGTTGTTGGAGGGCGACTGCCTCCAACTGCCCAGTAGTGTCCTTCACGAGCCTCCTCCACAGAGGCCGATCTTGACACCGCTGGTACCAGTCATCTGCAAGTCCACTCAGCTCCACGTCCTCCTGTACCACATCACTCAATCTCTTCTCTAGCCCGTGCCGCGCCCGTTTAGCCCCCTCCATCCGGCCAAACAAAAGCTGTTTAGGCATGCGATGGCTGGGCATGCGGTGGCTGGGCATGCGGGCTCCATGACCCAGCCAACAAAAAGATCCCCCGTATAGCCTTAACAGACGAAGGGAAAGTGCTGTTAGCGAGCACCTATGAAGGCCAGCACAGTCACACGTACACAGTCACACACACACACACACGAGCGTTGTTGAACCGGTAGCCGTTTTCAAAATCGACTACAGGTTCTCGACTTTCAGAACCGGTTAATCGATTTTGCAATTGGATTATGGTAAAAACTAAAACTTGTTTTATCCGTGGAACACCATGGGAAGGGAAGTAGAGTCAAGGTCATTGTGTGTTGGGGGGGGGGGGAGAAGTCGAGGGAAGACGGGGAAAGGTGAACGGGAAGGAGGGACGTCGGGCGGGAGTCCCCGAGGCGGACGAGGAGGAGGAGGGTACGGCTCAAGATGGGGAGCAGGGAGAGAGGACGGGGAGGGTACGGGGAGCAGGGAGAGAGGAACGCCGGGGCAGGGAGGGGAGGAGGGGAGGAGGGGGAGGAGGGGGGACAGGGAGGTGAAGAGGGGGGGGGGAGGTGAAGAGGGGGGGGAGGTGAAGAGGGGACAGGGAGGTGAAGAGGGGGGAGGAGGTGAAGAGGGGGGGGGGAGGTGAAAACGGGGGGAGGTGAAGAGGGGGGAGGAGGTGAAGAGGGGGGGGAGGTGAAGAGGGGGGAGGTGAAAACGGGGGGAGGTGAAGAGGGGGGGGGAGGTGAAGAGGGGGGGAGAGGTGAAGAGGGGGGGGGGAGGTGAAAACGGGGGGAGGTGAAGAGGGGGGAGGAGGTGAAGA